TTCATGGAGGATAGATCCATCAATGGCTGTTAGCCAAGGATGGTGTCCCGAGCCTCTGTTTGCCAGAAGCTGGGAATGGGTGACAGGGGTTGGATCACTTGATGATTCCCTGTTCTGTTCATTCCCTCTGGGGCACCTGGCATTGGCCACTGTCAGAAGACAGGATACTGGGCTAGATGGACCTTTGCTCTGACCCAGTATGGCCGTTCTTACATCTGGTCTAATTAGACTGTAAGCTCGTTGAAGCAGGGACTCTCTGTTACAAGACGTATGCCCTGATCTTGGTTTGGACCTGTAGGCTCAACTATAAGATACTGAACAATGCCCAGTCTGGCTCCCCTAGGAGGCTGTGTGTTTCTTGCAAGCTGAGCTCAACTCCTGGACTCTATTTATTTTATCCTTAATGAATTCACCTTCATTTAATTTATCTCGCACTCTGAAACAGGCCCAGGGGCGCTGCAGTGAAATTGCCCTCGCAGAGTCAGCAATGAATCCCCCCCGCATCCAGAAATCCAGCTGCACAGCCCTTGCTCCCTAATTCATGCTTCTTCCGTGGCTGTTTCTCTCCCCTGCTCCTCACCGTTTACCCTGTCTGTTTCTGTCTTTTAGATTGTTGTCTCTTTTTGTTTTAGTTCCCAGCTGTACGGGAGACAAAGGAAAAGCAAGAGAGGGGGACAGCCAGGATGATGGAACAAAGGAACATCTGGTGAACATGTTGTATCTGTAACGAAGCTGGGACCAGAGGCAGCCCTGTGCCATTTGCAGAGTTTTAATATTACAAGTGATTATGTGCATTGGGGTAACATCTCAGAGTCTCAGTCACAGGTTGTGCTGGGCGCTGTACCAACAAAGAACAAGAGATGGCCCCTACCTCAAAGAGCTTACAATCTAAGTAATTGGGCCTTCAGTTTAAAATGGCTTAACGGGTCTGTGGGCTACATCTTAACACTCTAGCCTTTCGTGCAGGCCGCTGTAACATTGGGGAGCATTTTACACAATGTAGTGATTGTGAACTCTTCAGGACAGGGACTCTAGCCCAGATTGTCAACATCAATGGGAGTTAAGCACCTCGATACCCTGAGGATCTAAGCCCTTCTCAATATGTTTCCGTACAGTGCCCAACTGTGGGGCCTTGATCTTCGTTTGGGCTATTGTCATAATAACAATTCAGTGTTCTCTGCTAGACTAGGCAAACACTGACTTGAAGATCATTACCATAGGAGTGCCTAGAGCTCCCAGCTAAGACTGGAGCCCCATTGTACAAGGCGCTGTACAAATCTAGTGAGAATGCCCCTGCCTTAAAGGGTTCGCATTCAGAGCGGACAATAGGGAGAGGGAACGCCTGGCTACAGTCTCTCAGCAGAGCCAGGAATAAAATACAGGGGTCTTGAGCTCCTATGTCATGTTCTACCCACTAGACCGCCTGCCCCCAAGCAGAGGGTGATCCTGAACCCATTGACATGAGTTGTGTTCCTGACAGTGAGGCGGGGTTAGAATCATAGAATATCAGGGTTGGAAGGGACCTCAGGAGGTCATCTAGTCCAACCCCCTGCTCAAAGCAGGACCAATCCCCAATTAAATCATCCCAGCCAGGGCTTTGTCAAGCCTGACCTTAGAAACTTCTAAGGAAGGAGATTCTACCACCTCCCTAGGTAACGCATTCCAGTGTTTCACCACCCTCCTAGTGAAAAAGTTTTTCCTAATATCCAACCTAAACCTCCCCCACTGCAACTTGAGACCATTACTCCTTGTCCTGTCCTCTTCTACCACTGAGAATAGTCTAGAACCATCCTCTCTGGAACCACCTCTCAGGTAGTTGAAAGCAGCTATCAAATCCCCCCTCATTCTTCTCTTCTGCAGGCTAAACAATCCCAGCTCCCTCAGCCTCTCCTCATAAGTCATGTGTTCCAGACCCCTAATCATTTTTGTTGCCCTCTGCTGGACTCTTTCCTATTTTTCCACATCCTTCTTGTAGTGTGGGGCTCAAAACTGGACACAGTACTCCAGATGAGGCCTCACCAATGTCGAATAGAGGGGGACGATCACGTCCCTTGGTCTGCTCAATCTGGTCGTTTCTTGGGAGAAGCGCATTGGATGGATCGGAGTCAGCACAGAAGTGGATTGGACTCCAGGCAATACAATAGTGCCTGGCTCATCTGTAGTACTTTTCATCAGTAGATCTCGAAGTGCTTTACAATGGAGGTCAGGATCATTATCCTCATTTGACAAATGGGGAAACTGAGGCACAGAGAGGGGCACACCCATGGAAAAAAAGTTAGTGGGTACTTGGGCACCCAGCCACTGCCCCCTCTCTCCCAGCTCCTCCTGCCCGCTGGCGGCCCCACCGATCAACTCCTCCCCCTCCCGCCCACCATGCATCAACTGTTCTGCGGCGTGCAGGAGGCGCTGGGGGGAGGGGGAGGAGAGGGGACAGGGCATGCTCATGGGGAGGGGGCAGAAATGGGTGGAGTGGGGGTTGAGCATCCTCGGGGAAAGGAAGAAGCCAGCGGCTGAGTAGCCCATGGTACATTGTGCTGCAGAATGCTAAGATGCTCTTTGTGTCAGTTCTATTGACATGTGGGAGACCTTGTCTGTTCTTCTAACACATGGGGGGATATTGTGGGAAGGCATTGGAGGACTATCAGCTCTCAAGTGATTTAGCCTGTGTCCGCACTGCAAAGTGAAAGCAGCCCCCAGGCTCTAACCCACCTGCAGCTGGGCCAGCTAGCCTGGGTTGTAAGCGCTGCCGAACTTGGGTAAGAGAATTATGGGTGCGGACGGGAGAGAGGTTAGAGGCAACACCTTCGTAAGAGCCTAGGTTAACTCCACAGCGAAGATGGACCGGCAATGTGGTTAACACACGTTTTGTTCTTGAGGTGTAGATGGAACCGAATCTTGCATAAACCCAAAGCTGCAGCATGGTCCAGGATCCCATCCAACACTAGGACAGATCGCCAGCTGGCACAATCAGCTTTACTGACTTTCACAGAGTTCACGTCAACCCATGGATGCCAACTGGGCCTCTGGGCCTGGCTCTGCTACAAGACCAAACTTTGCGATTATTATTATTATTTATTTGCATCACTTTAGCACCCAGAGACTTCCCTCAAAATTGAGGTCTCATTGGCCTAGCATTAGGGAGGTTGAACCAGGCATCTCCAGAGCTAAAAGCCAAATCTGCCGTAGCCCAAGCTACAGAGTCAGGACACTATAGCTTGTATCCTGTCCAGAGTGGGACCCATAATACACACCAGCATGTCTTCACTTTTACAGACATCTAGCAAGAGAGTCCTTGCCACCAAAGAGTTTACCAATTAAATAGATGAGAGAGAGAGAGAGAAAAGGTGGGAGGGAAGGGGTCTGTCCTAGCTCATATTGCAGGTCAATGGCAGAGACAAGGCTAGAACCCGGAAATGAAATCCAGGCCCCATTGAAAACGCCGCCACTGAATTCAACAGGGCAAGGCTATCAAGCCCCATCTCCCGAGTCCCAGGGCATGTTGAACCAGTAGACCACGCTGCATTTGCGTTGATGAAGTGCTCAGCATAACCTGGTCCCCCGAGGCGGAGAGTCCGATCGCAGATGTAGGATTTGTGGACCCTGCTCACACATAAGTTAATTATTGCTTAGTGTAACTGGGACACGGCCAGCAGCTTCACCCTACATGGTACAGTCAGTTTGGAATGAGGCCACAGATCACCTAGAGGGGTGAAAGAGCTCGTGCGGCTGTTATAAAAAAAAATGCAAAATGGGTGGGGGTTTTTTTTGACAATGTTGTTTCACGGGACTGACATTTTTCCCTTCCATTCCGATGCGGAACAAAACCGCAGTTGAGAATGTCTGGATTTCCCAGCGGATGGAAAGTCCGTGTTTCAAGCAGATCTGCTGGCACTGTGCATGAGTGGAGGAACAACAATTTTATCCCATTAAAGCAAAGTGAGCCCCACCCTAGGAAGAAGGATCGTTTCATCGGGACCGTGCGACCTTGCCATTTCTTTCTGCCCTTCTGCACATTAGCGGGTCAGTCGTGGAGAAGAATTCATTCCCAAAGGCTCATGGCTGCTAATTCAGCTGCTGTTAGGAGTCTAATCCCCCACTCCACAGGCATAACCTCGCTGCTGAGCCCATCAGTCACCCCGCTAGCTGAGCGCTGTGCTTCCCCCTCGTCTCTGAGCCCTCCTCATTCTTTGGGTCACATCAGCAAATTCAGGCGCTGCCTCGTAAAACCAGCATTTCACTTGTGTTAGTCCAATAACCTGAGGCAAGGGTCCCTCTCTTGTAATCCACTGTGCAGTCTTGGGGTGCCTGTCATCTGTCGGTCGCTGCTTTGAATCCAGCGCAGGATGTTAGGCACTAGAAGCGGGCGCTATGGGACGACCCCCGTGAAAAGCGTTGGTAGGTCTCCGTGCACTGGGGAAAAGCCCCAGTTAAAAGCCAGCTCTCCTGAGTCCTCATCTAGCAGCCTAGCCACTCGGCCATGCAGCAACCCAGAGCACAAGCCTGAAGGACTCTCTTGCCCGTGCAGGCATGGAGGCAGAGCTGAGGACAATGGCAGAGCAGTGGGGGAGGGGGTGTCTGCCCTACTGCTATCCTGCAGGACCTGCCCTATGGCGAGAGGGCTTCATACTCCATATCTGCCACTGTCTCCTTGCACCAGCACTCGCTTCACTATTTTAAAATTTTAAAAAAACAGCCTCAATCCTTGATTGCAGGTAGGTTTCACCCTCTGTCCCATTGATCTCCCCCTCACTTATTAAAGGGATCTTGCAAGCCTTAAATTAATCCTGCTTTAAAGTCCTTAGGGCAGATCCTCAGCTGGGCTGGATGGAACTTATGCCGATTGACATCAATGGAGCTACAGCGATTGACTCCAGCGGAGGATCTGGCCTATGAGCCGGAGGGGAGCATCCTGTGGGATCTAAACATCTAGTTGCCTGTCTATAAATCACCACCCCGATGAAAAAGTGAAAGAAAATCCCTGTAATGGGGCTCAGACTCACCACCGCTGGTGCCTCCTGCTGGTTGCTCCGAGAATGAGCTCAGTCCAGGCATGGAGCTCCTCCTGCTGGTGTCTCGCCCATTGTCTGCTCTGCTGTGTTGTTTCCACCACTGGGACACACATCGCTCTCTGGACCACAGTGTTCTCTTCAGGACACTGCCCTCCGGCAGTGCCCACTACTCCATTCTTCCTTCTTCCAGGGGTACATCAGCAATTCTAGTCCACACCTGTCTTCGTGGCCACCTGCCACCCCAAAGTCTAGTCCCTTATCTCAGGGACAAGGTGCAGTCCATGGGCCATGCTCCCTCATGGCAAGGTGCGGTGCAAGGGGGGAGAGGGAGACCCAGGCCCGCCCACTACTCTGGACCCCAGCCCAGGGACCCTTGAGCAGCAGCTCCTGCTTGCTGCCTTCCTACACTCCCCGTCACTGCCTGCCTTCCCTGGGCCACTTCCCTGTAGCCCTAGCACCCACTCAGGCCTTGTTTCAAGGCCTGCAGTATGGCCAGGTCAGCCAGAGCTCCCTCTGCCCTGCCCAGCATTGCTCTGTCCAGGGTGCCGCTCCTTCTACCAGGAGCCAATCCTCCTCCCTTGCTGGCCAGGAGGAGACTGCTCTCTCTGCTCTGCTGCAGCCTTTATATAGGGCTTAGCCTGGCCCTGATTGGCTGCCTCTTTCTTGGCCCCAATTGGCTCCCCACAGGCCCTTGCTGATTGGCTGCCAGTCTGTACAGCCTCTCTGGCCCGTTCCAGCCCTTTTTCTCATGGAGTGGGGCAGCCACCCCACTACAATCCCAAAAGACCAAGGCAGAAAATCAAGTGTTTTCCAAAAGCGCAGGTCAAAAACGTTCAGACTTGGGGGGGATGGGTGGGGGGAGTAGACCTGAGCAAGTGGCTGACTTGTCCATTCAGTGACCGAAATGTGACATCCAACCAGAAACACGTGGTTTGGGGTTCGGCGTTTCCCTTTGTTTTTTTCTGAATAAATCTTGCTGCATTTCTAAGCGAAGCGTCGTTTCGAACCGAGAAGTTGTAACATTGCTTTTGAAAAAAGCGTCAAAACCAGAAACCAGCCTGAGCAGCAGCATGCAAGCAGCTAGCCCGAGCTCGTTTGCATTGAGTTAGGACCCAGAGCTATTTGGACCCAACTGTGCCCCTGTAGTTTCTTCCTATTATTTGTGTTGTGCCAAGAAGGGCAGACATGACACCAGGTGTCACACTTTTTGAGGTGTAGCACCACGCTCCCTAGCTATACCTCGTTTGGTTGATCTCAAAGCTCGAGCCATCATGTCCATTGTATGTGGGGGAAACTGACACGCAAAGAGATGCTGAGATTTACTCAAGTCACCCAGCCAGCCAGTGCTGGGAAGAAAACCCAGGCCTCCTGAATCCCAGGCTAGTGAGCGATCCATCAGACACCAGCGCCTCCCCTCTGCACTGCTGGACAGAGCCTTCTCTGTAGTTGATTGGAAAAAACCCAAAGGAGACGGTTGACAAATATCCCATCATTTTCCTTGGGGAGCTGCAACTCCAAGGCTGGCTCTGTGCACCTGGGAGAGCAGCCAGCCGGCCACACCAGAAGAGGCATCACATCCAGTTCTAGAGCAATGCTAAAGGAAAAACAGTTACCATCAGTGTGCATAAATCAATACCACGTCGTCAGGAGGGCAAATGTGTGGTCTGAGAAGGACCGAGTCAGTATAACAGAAGACAGGCAAGGAACAGCAGACAAGGGAGTGTGGGGATCACTCCACTGAAAGGAGAGAGGTTTGGCCAAAGACCGACTCAAAAGCTGTATAGCGAGTGGCCAGCATCAATCCAGTTGCTCATTACATTTCCAGCTACCAGAAAGGGAAAGAGTGCATCTGACGGGTGGGGTATTGGACTAGATCTCAGGAGATACAGGTTCAATTTGCAGATCAGCTATCACCCTGGGCAAGTCACACTCTATGCTGTGCCTCAGTTTCCCCGTCTGTAAAATGGGGAATGGCCGTTCCCTGCCCCCCAGCGGGGTTGTGAGACTCCAGTCCGTGAACGACTGCGAGGTGCTCATGCATCCCACTGGTGAGTGTGCGGGCAAAGAGAGGGACCTGTAGCAACCTGCAGAGGGTGAGAATCTGTTACAGCCCCAGCTAAGGAGCCTTGGGCCATATAAGCACCGATATGGGCAGACAGCTTGCCAGGGCCTTGTCCCACCCCACTGGGAGTCTGGCCATCGACTTCAGCGAGAGCTCGATTGGAGGTCTGATGAGGATTGTCGGCTCTCTCCCTGCAATGATCCCAAAGCCGAAGGAAGCTGCCGCTCTGCTCTGGGCTCCATTTGCAGGACCAGAATCCACCTGTTTGTTTGGAGCAGACCTCGTTAGGTTGATGCCAAGCGACAGCAGCGTGCGCGGGGCTAACTCGCAAACCACCAGCCGTTGCTTCAGACCCTTCCCCGGGGCGTGCTGTGGTCTAAGACGCTTCTCTCCACATGCGCCTGTCGCTCATCTGACTTTAAAGGCCCGTGCCTCATAGGACGGGCTCTTCCACAACCTGATCGTTTTGTACCCTTCCGGGAAGGAGGTAGCAGCCCCACCCCATTGCCCAGGAGCTCCTACAATGGACCAAGATTTCACCAATGCTGTTTTAAAACCGGTTTTGCTTGCGTAGCTTGTGCACACACCCCCGGGGCCAAGGGCAGAGCCTCCATGCACAGAATTACCACTGAAGTTCGATATCCTGGCACCAACAACACTGCAGTGACCAAGGTCAGGCCGAGAGACTAGGAAGCGGCTCAGAGTCCTAGGGCCATTGCCCTGCACCTGATGCAGCCGTTTCCTTCAAATCAGAGCGGTAACAGGTTACACTGGTGTCAATTACTGCACAGGCTACAGGGGAATGGAGCATCAGACCCTAGCCCTGGCCAGTGCCTTAACCACAGGACCAACCTTCCTTTCTGACCACAGATGCCGCCTTTCCAAAGTGCCGGGGGCAATGCTCGTCCCCTGGCTCTAGCCCAGGCCCCGCCCCTAATCCACCCCTTCCCCCAAGGCTCCACCCCCGCCCCGCCTCTTCCCGCCCAGTTCTGCCCCCTCCCCCGAGTGCGCCGCGTCCTCGCTCCTCCCCCTCCCTCCCAGCCTCCTGCACACCGCAAAACAGCGGATTGTGGCGGGTGGGAGGCGTGGGGAGGTGCTGATTTGTGGGGCCTGCTGGCAGGTGGGAAACACTGGGGAGGTGGGGGGGAGCTGACAGGGGGGCCACCAGTGAATGCTCAGCACCCACCATTTTCCCCCCATCGGTGCCTATGTCTCCGGCTGATCGTTAGTCGCTATTTGTATACAGCCCAGTGGGGATATGTGGTGCTTTATAGAGAGACTGGAGGCCTGGGGGCTGGGGCCTCATGCTGAGCTTGCTCACGCCATAGAGAGAGAGTAAATCCCTGGAAGTCAATGGAGTTAAATTGCTGTTAGTGAGTGAAAAGACCGGCTCACCAAGCTTACAACCTATGAAGGTACTGAGATTCCCCCGCCCCCATTGCCAGACTAGCAATTTGCAGCATAGCAGGGAAGCGAACTGGCCTCCCCCGGGTCTTACACTGGTACAAGAACCATCCTCCCTCCATAGGATGGGGGTTAACCACATTCACAACCACCTCTTCCTTATAGATCACTCCCACAAGCCCCTGCGAGGCAGGGGACTGCTGTTATCCCCATTGTACAGATGGAGAACAGAGGCACAGAAGAAAGACTAAGTGACTTGACCAAGGCCACACAAGGAGTCTGAGGCAGAGCAAGGAAGTGAAGCCATGTCACCCAGATCCAAAGCTAGTGCCATAAGCCTTAGACCATCCTTTTTGTCTACATGAGGAACTCCACAGTTTGGACACATTCAGCATCCCTGATTTAAGTGACAGTGCCATTCGAACTACAGCCTCACACAGTGCAATGACCATTACTCTAGGATAAGGAAGCTTTTGTTTTTAATTAAAGAATAAGGTAGCAATTGATTGGATTGAAATGCTTTTTTGGATCTGAAGCTCAAAGCAGAGAGCTCACGAACAACCAGAATGCCTAACCAAGCCATTTGTTGTGCTGGACAGCACAGAATTGGTCATAAAAAGCCAAGAGATAGGGTTGTTTTCTGCAGCTTGCACCCAATTAAGGGATGGGGGGGTATTTATTTTTGCAATTAGGGACCCTATTTAGCAGGGAAATTGTTTAGCAAGGAACTGACGTGAAGTGTAACATCAAACTTATCACTCATCTTGAAGAGGGAAATCAGACCCAATTCATCCTGTGAAGTGTGACACAATCATTTTCCTCCGAGACCTGATTAAAACTTCCAGCCAGATCCATCGCTATTAGATGCTTTCATGTTTTATCAAATTTCTCTCTGCCTTAGGACACATTGTTATTTAAAAGGAGAGAAGCAGTTTTCTCCCTCTCTCGTCTGGAACGATCAGATGGTAACTCATTCAAACGGAGAGATTTACCAGAAGCGATGACACTGAAATCATTTCCTGCCTTCACGAATATGTTTATATAAACAGTTTTATCCGTCCCTCTTTCTCAAGTGCAATTTTGGCGAGCGTTATCAGCCACAATCTCAAGTTTTCAGAACCTTGCATGCAATTTCTTCCCTCCCTCCCCCACCAAATGCATTACATTTTCCTTTAAAGTATTCAAAAAACATTCTAGATTGGAGCCAGATCTGCTTGCTGTTTCGGAGATACTAATCAGTCCCATTCAGATTTTGTCATCCACCCTTTACGTTCTCTGACCTCTGCATAAATCAGCATTTTTCCCTCCCCATACTTTGGAAACGGGGAGATCGCTTTTTGATTTTGCTACTACAATGTTCAGGTATTTCTGCCATAAGCCTCCACTGTGGAGAAAGATTTGACTTTGGATGCTGTTGTCTTCTTGCAGTCAAAGAGTGGATCAGGCAGCTGCTATTTAAAGAGGACGGGCATGTGGTTAAGGCACATGCCTCCGACACAGGAGAGCTGGCTTCAATTCCCACCTTGAACATGTTACTTAAGTGATTTAGCAGCTTGAGTCCCATGTTCAAAAGTGACTTAAGTCCTGTCAACTTTCACTGAGAGTTAAGTCACTTTTGAAAATTTTTCCCCTAAGTGATTTAGGTGCCTAAGTACCTGGGCCGCTTCTGAAAATGGGACTTAGGTGCTTTTGGACATTTTATCTTTACTCTGCGCCATAGTTCCCAGTCTGCAAAATGGTGATAACACCACTACCATTCCTCCAACTATTGTCCAATGAGACTGTCATTCTTTGGAGCTTAGTCTGTGCCTGGACAGCATCTAGCACAATCCTGCATCACGTTTGAAGGCCTCTTGGTATTCCTGTAACACAAGTAATGAGATCAAAGTTCAGTTCCAAGGCAAATGGTGGAAGCCCCATTGTTCGGGACTCAAACACCATAAGGAACAACCTTGCTTTGATCAGGAGATGGACTGGGTGACCTTATAGGATCAGAAGTCATAGATGGAAAAAGACCTAAAAGGTGTCTGTTGTGTCCCTTGAAAAAGAGAAGAGACAGGGCTGAGCTGTAATGAATATACAGGGGGTTCTGTATCGAGACTGATGGTCAAAGAGAGATCTTATGGTTCTTTCTATCTCCCATACTGTCCCAGCCTGGTGTCACCACAAAGGGTCTCCTTAAGTCCTGTCCTGTCCTTGGGGAAAGGACTGTAGACCACACTACACCATTCCCGTCTTGTAACCTTCATATGACTGGAAGCCTCTACAGAGATGCCAGGGCTCGGTCAGCATGAAAATGGAACTTTGTCCCAGAGGCAGCTCCTTGGTGTCAGGCTTGAGGCATATGAGCAGGGCAAAGCAAGGGGAAGCTTCAGTGGGTGTTGTTTGTGCTTGTTCTGTGGCTAGATAGAGGTCTCCAGTCTCCAGAGCTGTCAGGCAGGTGTCTTTCACGAGCATTAGTCATTTCTTGAAAAATATACATTTGAAATTCAAACCTGTCAGGAACGTTTTTCTGCATTTTCTTCCCTGTCACTGCTGCCTGCGAAGGAACGAGTGCAAAATTAGCCCTGCTCCCCGGGAACCAGCCTTCTGCTCCATCAGCTGCCAGAGTCTGTTGCTTGTGGCATCATAATAATCCACTCTTCTGGATA